AAGCACATAAACATTTGCCTACTTTTGCAAAGTCCATTCAAGCAAACCAGCGACTTTATTTCATTTGGCTAAAAATACACATAGCGATAAGTGGCCCAAAATATCTTCCATGCGTTCCAGTACTTTCAGATTATTCCATTAATGTGCCATTAACTCAGCATTACTTAATACAAAATGAGAACCGCCAACCTAAGCCAGAGTCTGCAAGTGTGAGCACAGCTCCAAACCCCCTCCTGTGTTACCGTTCTCTTTAACACAGAGACACACACACCAAATATTCCTGCAACTATTTGATTATCCTCAGCTTCCTCAGTCTCAATCTCACCAAATCTGCCATACTTCTTCCAAAATGTCAGTGCTCCAAGATAACTTCCCCATGTCCTGTTTTATCCGTGGCCTATAAAGCTGACCAAATTTCTCAAGATGTGCCTCTACTTCCAAGAAATGTCTAAGTTTTAATATTCTTCTAGAAGAGAATAGGTAGCTCAGAGTTGAACTGGGGAGTCTGTTTGTTTTTAAACACTCAAAAAAGAGACAATAAAGGAAGCTAAGGAAACAAAACAACTAGCACACATCCTCTCCAGCCACAAACACCCAGATAAGCAGGGATTAACACCAGACAAAGAATCAAGCAGAAAACAATACCATAATCAAGGAACTACCAAGGAGAAACCACACTCCTCCAAGCCTGATAGCACAAGCTACTGTGTATAAACAAGGAACACACCCCACACTCACTTGCACTGGTGATGTTATCTAAATGGGTAATGAAATGTCTACCCTCTCATGTCACCACTCTGGGGTGACGATTCCCAGAGGGAAACTGTTTATTAGAATGTATGCGACAAGCAAGCAAATTTATAATACGTACAAGGATCAAATGCAAAGAGAACTTCGGTTCAGATGAGTTAGAATGCTCACCTGAAACCGAAGGTGGAATTGGAAATATAGTATATTCTGGCATCAAGCCCGTTTGGAAAGATGCAAGGGAGAACTAGGGAAACCCGAGATTATGTTATGTGGAGTCCTTGGTGGTCTCTGACCTTGGTTGTTCGGAGCAAGCTCAGAGAGCACGGAGGTCTCCAGAGTTCAACCGTGGGCTGCATACAGTAGTGGCCAAAATTGTGGACACCTTTTGGGAAAAGTGTATTTTCTAAAACTAGCTAATAACACCACTTATTACCATAAAATTATATATCCATGGAAAGATAATTTAATCAAGAATGTAATGCAATAACTTTCATGAAGGATTTCTTATTAGAATAGCAGTTACAGTATAAAGAAGAAAAGTGAAACACGTAGAAAAAAACAAGATATACAAAAATTATCACCCTAGAAAAAACGAGATATACAAAAATGATCACCATGTCAATTAATACTTCGTTGGGTAACCTTTAGCATGAATTACGGCCTTACAACGTCCTCCCACGGAGCAAACCCAAGTCTTTTAGTTCTGCAGCTGTTCTAATGTCAAACCAAGATTGAATGATGGCTTCTATAAACTGGGTTTTATTGCTGGGTCGCTTCTGACTAACAAGTTTCTTTAGTTGGCTCCATAGATTTTCAATTGGGTTAAGAAGGTCATTCCCAGGCCATTCCAACAGTGGAATAGGATTATCTTGAAACTCCAAAAAAAGAAGTGCTGCTATTAGCCATCAAACCTCATAAATACACTTTTCCCAAAAGGTTTCCACAATTTTGGCCGCTACTGTATATTCTATTGTGTTATGTGCATGATGGGTTAATTGCTTTTAGTAAAAAGGCAACAAGCTATTCAATAAACCATTGAGGGAACTTCTGAAGCTATTTTCTGAGCGGTGAAAATCAATGTAACCCAACTCTAACATATGAACTTCAATGTCCTAAATTCAGAGCGAGCTCAGCCATTGCTGAGAACGCTGAAAATTGGAAGTGCGTGCATCTGTAGGCTACCTAGCTTGAGAAAACATCCTGCGCAATGAGACACACGAAGCCCATCACGATCGAAGGGAAGAACATTCATATCGGGAAGTTATACTGGGAAATTTACGGAACAAATTTACAGACTGGTTTCAACCTCCGACTTTGAGAAGGAACTGGATCAGCCTGGGAAAAAGAAAGTAAACTGAAATTAAGAATGAGCCTTGGTGGCGCAGCAGACTAAAGTGCTGTTAAGTAGCACCAGCTGCCTGCAATTACTGCGAGTTCGAATCTCACCAGGCTCAAGGGTGACTCAGCCTTCCATCCTTCCGAGGTGGGGAAAATGAGGACCCGGATTTTGGGGGCAATAAGTTGACTTTGTATAAAAAAAGAACACCACTTATGGGGGGCCGAAAGCCCTACTAAGCAGGTATGTACAAAAAGGATGAAGGCTATTGCTTAACGCATTGTAAGCCGCCCTGAGTCTCCGGAGAAGGGCGGCATATAAATTGAACTAATAAATAAATAAATAAGAGTGATTTGGAGAGAAAAAAACAAACAACCCAACTGATATCAGAGGGGAGATATAGAGTGTAAAATGGACAGCCTGCAGCTCTGATAGCAGCGTTCCAATATTTGAGGGGCTGCCCCAGAGAGGAGGAAGGGGGTCAAGCTATTTTCCAAAGCACCCGAAGGCCAGACAAGGAATAATGGATGGAAACGGAACAAGGAGAGATTCAACCTGGAAATAAGGAGGAATTTTCTGATGGTGCGAACAATCAACCCATGGAACAGAAGTTGCATCCAGAAGTTGTGGGAGTTTCATCACTGGAAGCTTTCAAGAAGAGACTGGACTGCCATCTGTCAGAAATGGTGTAGGGTCTCCTGCTTTTGGGGGTGGGGGGGTTGGACTAGATGACCTACAAGGTCCCTTCCCGGCCAACGTAATGGACATCTCCCTTGGCTCGCAATCGATTAGAGAAAGGAAGAAGTAGTCACCCCCTATTCAGTGGTTTCTCAACCTAAGCACCTTTAGGAGGTCTGGACCGCAACTCCCAGAATTCCCCAGCCAGGGCTTCCTGGGGAATACTGGGAATTGAAGTCCAAGACCTCCTAAAGTGTTACGGTTGAGGAACTTCAACCCTACAGGGGCACCTCTGGCACGGGGGCGGGGGGGGCAGCCCCCTCCAGATGCAGGAAGCAAGAATCTGGATGCGGGGAGGCGAAGACATACACCATCAAGGGGTAGGTGCCAATTTCCCCCACTTCCCTCCAGAACTACAACTCCCATCAATGCCGTTAGTGCCATGAAACGAGGAGGCTGGTGGGGAATGATGGGAGGCGTAGTCCAACTGCTCTAGAGAGTGGTGGGGGGAGTGATAGGTAGTGGGAGCAGCCCAGAAGGGCAGTGTGGATCCCCCCCTTTACCTACCTGTTTCCCCCCAGCTTCCTTCCTTCCTTCTCGCCTTCTCCCTCTTCTTCTCCCTTTCCTTCCTACCTTCCTCCCTCTTCTTCCTTCCTTCCTTCTCTTTTTCCTTCTCCCTCCCTTTCCTCCGTCCTTTTCTTTTTTCCTTCCTCCCTTTCCTTCCTTCTCTCCCTTTTTCCTTCTCCTTCTCCCTCCCCCTTCTTCTTCTCTTCTTCTCCTCTTTTCATCTCCTCTCCTTCCTTCTCTCTCTTCTTTTTTCCTTCTCCCTCCCTTTCCTCCCTCCCTCCTTCTTTCTCCTTTTTTCCTTCCTCCCTTTCCTTCCTTCCTTCTCTCCCTTTTTTCCTTCTCCCTCCCTTTCCTCCCTCCTTTTTTCCTTCCTCCCTCTTTCCTTCTCTCCCTCTTCTTCCTTCGTTCTCCCTCCCTTTCCTCCCTCCCTCCTTCTTTCTCCTTTTTTTCCTTCCTCCCTTTCCTTCCTTCTCCTCTTTTTTCCTCCCTCTTCTTTCCTTCCTCCCTTTCCTTCTTTTCTCCCTCCCCCTTTTCTCCTTTTTCCTTCCTCCTTTCCTTCCTTCTCTCCCTTTTTCCTTTCTTATCCCTCCCTTTCCTCCCTCCCTCCTTCTTTCTCCTTTTTTCCTTCCTCCCTTTCCTTCCTCCCCTCTCTTCTTCCTTCCTTCTCTCCCTCTTCTTCCTTCCTTCTCCTCCCTTTCCTCTCTCCTCCTTCTTTCTCCTTTTTCTTTCCTTCCTCCCTCTCCTTCCTCCCTCCCTCTTCTTCCTTCCTTCCTCTCCCCTCCTTTTTTCCTTCTCCCTCCTCCTTCTTTCTCCTTTTTCCCTTCCTCATTTCCCTTCCTTCCTTCTCTCCCTTTTTCCTTCTCTCCCTCTTTTCTTCCATCTCCCTCCCTCCCTCCTTCTTTCTCCTTTTTTCCTTCCTCCCTTTCCTTCCTTCTCCTCTTTTTTCCTCCCTCTTCTTCCTTCCTTCTCTCCTTTTTTCCTTCTCCCTCTCATTCCTCCTCCCTTTCCTTCCTTCTCTCTTTTTTCCTTCCTTCTCTCCCTCTTCTTTTTTCTTCTCCCTCCCTCCTTTTTTCTCCCTTTCCTTCCTTCTCCTCTTTTTTCCTCCTCTTCTTCCTTCCTTCTCTCCTTTTTTCCTTCTCCCTCTCATTCCTCCCTCCCTCTTTCCTTCCTTCTCCTCTTTTTTCCTTCCTTCTCTCCCTCTTCTTTTCTCCCTCCCTCCTTTTCTCCTTTCTCCCTTTCCTTCCTTCCTTCTCCCCCTTTTTCTCCTTCTCCCTCCCTCCCCCTTCTTCTTCTCTTCTTCTCCTCTTTTTTCCTCCCTCTTCTTCCTTCCTTCTCTTTTTTCCTTCTCCCTCTTTCCTCCCTCCCTCTTTCCTTCCTTCTCCTTTTTTCCTTCCTCCCTTTCCTTCCTTCTCTCCCTCTTCTTTTTTCCTTCTCCCTCCCTCCTTTTCTTCTTCCTCCCTCTTCTTCCTTCCTTCTCCCCCTTTTTCTCCTTCTCCCTCCCTCCCTCTTCTCCTCTTCTCCTCTTTTTTCCTCCCTCCCTCCATCTCTCTCTCTCTCTCTCTCCTTCCTTCCTTTTCCTCCCCTCCCCCCTTCTGCCTCCGACCCCTTCCCCACACCTCCCACCCCGGGCGGGCCCCAGCATCTCCTCGGGACTCGCGGACCGCCTCACCTTGCAACGGGCGCCGCGGCTCCTTCCCTTCGCTCCGCTCCGCTCCAGGCCCCGCCACCCAAGCGGAGGGATTGACAGGCGGCCGCCACCGCGCATGCTCATTATCTAGAGAGCGGGCGCCCCGCCCCCCACGCCGTCATTGGACTCGCTCCCCTCTCTGCTCCCATTGGCTTGCCCGGCCACGTCGCCCCGCCTCTCCCGCGGGGGATTGGCTGGAAATTAGCCTAGCCCCGCCCCCTTCGGAGGAGCCGGTCCGCGTGGCGCATCAGGGATGCAGAAAAGGGGGGGGCGATGGGGGGGGTCACTTACGCGGGGTTTTTTGGGGGGGGGCTTCTCCCCTCCCCTTTTATAATGCGGTTCATAGGAGGAAAAACAGAGGAAGGGTCGCAGGGAGGGGGGGGCTCTGCAGGCTTTATGATTAAAGTCCCCCCTGCATTTGCAGAGAGGGCTGCAAACTGGGCCACGACCGCCAGGGGGCAGCCGAGAGTCCGGCGTTCCTGTGTCTTTGCTGCCCTCTGCCGACCGCCTTGAGGGTTGCAGCTCGTCTGATTTTAGACTAGAATAACAAAAGTTGGAAAAAGGACCTTGGAGGTCTTCTAGTCCAGGATTGTGGGGGCAATAAGCTGACTTTGTATATAAAAAGGAACACCGCTTGGGGGGGGGGGGGGACGAAAGCCCTACTAAGCAGGTATATACAAAAGTATGAAGGCTATTGCTTAATGTATTGTAAGCTGCCCTGAGTCTCCGGAGAAGGGCGGCATATAAATCGAACCAATAAATAAATATCTGTCTATGCCCTGCAGCCTGTCTAAAAAGTTTTATGTGTAAAAAAAGAGATTCTGAAATCCAACCAGAGGACATAAAAAAAAACTGCATTTCGTGGTTCCCTAAATGCCAGAATCCTTTTTTACGATCATACCAAAAAGAGATTTCAGGTAGTCCGACTGAAAAATCTGAAGACTAAATTTAATCCTTCATCCAGTCGCTTGGTAGAGAGATGGGCAGCATACAAGTCTTAATAAACAAGTAAAAATCCTCTATTTCCTATTTGAAAACTTCCAATCACAAATAATTCATTTAAGTTCAGCCGGTATAGGTATTCCCAAAACTGCAAGAAATTAGAATAGAATAACAAGAGTTGGAAGGGACCTTGGAGGTCTTCTAGTCCAACCCCCTGCTTAGGCAGGAAACCTTAGACAACTTCAGACAAATGGTTATCCAACCTCTTCTTAAAAACTTCCAGTGTTGGAGCATTTGCTGGAGGCAAGTTGTTCCACTGATTAATTATTCTGTCAGGAAATTTCTCCTTAAGTTCTAAGTTGCTTCTCTCCTTATTTATTTATTTATTTTATTAATTTAATTTATACACTGCCCTTCTCCCAAAGGGACTCAGGGCGGTGTACAGCCAGCATAAAACGCGCAAATATAAAATTTAAAAACAATTTAAAATTATTATATAGTTTGGCCCATATCTAATTAAAATAAAACGACCCGATTTAAATGTTTAAAAAATTAAGAATTGACAATGAAAAAATTTTAAAAATTAGGCCAGCCCAGCTTGTTGAAATAAAAGTGTCTTGAGGGCCTGGCGGAAGATGCATAAGTTGGGAATCCTCCGCATCTCGGGGGGCAATTCGTTCCAGAGGGCAGGAGAGAAGGGTCTCCCCCTGGGGGTCGCCAGCCGACATTGCTTGGCCGACGGCACCCGGAGGAGCCCCTCTCTGTGGGAGTGAATTGGCCGGAGGCTATTGGTAGCAGCAGGCGGTCTTGTAAATACCGGGGTCCTAAGCCATGGAGCGCTCTAAAGGTGGTAACCAATACCTTGAATCGCACCCGGAGGACCACCGGGAGCCAGTGCAGCTTGTGCAAGAGAGATGTTACATGGGAGCACCATGACACTCCCATAACCACCCGCACGGCCGCATTCTGGACCAGTTGGAGCCTCCGGGTGCTCTTCAAGGGGAGCCCCATGTGGAGAGTATTACAATAGTCCAGGCGGGAAGTGACGAGGGCATGAGTGACCGTGTGTAGGGAGTCCCGATCCAGAAAGGGACGCAACTGGCGGATCAGGCGAACCTGATAAAAAGTCCTCCTGGTCACAGCCGTCAGATGTTCTTCTAAAGACAGCCGTGTATCCAGGAGGACACCCAAGTTGCGAGCCCTCTCCATGGGGGCCAATGATTCGCCCCCAATAGTCAGTGATGGCGCCAACTGATTATATCGGGACGCCGGAAACCACAGCCACTCAGTCTTGGACGGGTTGAGCTTGAGCCTGTTTCTCCCCATCCAGATCCGCACGGCCTCCAGACACCGGGACATTACGTCAAGGGCATCATTGGGGTGGTCCGGGGTGGAGATGTACAGCTGGGTGTCATCATCCTTGATGAGTTTCCACCCATTGCTTCTTTTCCTGCCTTCAGGGGCTTTGGAGAATGGGGATGTTGCAGTATCCTTCCCACAGGAGTAGGGAAGGAATGGGGATTTTACAGTATCCTTCCCCCAGAAGTGGGGAGGGAATGGGGATGTTGCAGTATCCTTCCCCCAGGAGTGGGGAGGGAATGGGGATTTTGCAGCATCCTTCCCCCAGGAGTGGGGAAGGAATGGGGATTTTGCAGTATCCTTCCCCCTGGAGTGGGGTGGGAATGGAGATTTGTCAGTATCCTTCCCCTGCTACGCCCACCAAGCCACGCCCACCACACCACGCCTACCAAGCCATGCCCACAGAACCGGTAGTAAAAAAATTTGGATTTCACCACTGTTGGAGATCCCTGATCTAATCTTTTGATCCAGCACTCCTAAATGGTTTCCGGTTTTTTTCTGCGTTGTATCTTTGCAGACAGAAAAGCTGCAATTATTATTATTTTTTTTTTAAATGATGGATTCTTGGCTACAGATGGATGGCAGCAGCATTTATTTTGGCTGAAAGGTAAGCAGGATCAGGATTTGGATGGAAAACCACCAGGAATTCATCATTACAAAGAGGAGGAAGAGGAGAAGAGGAATTGGAAGAAGGTAATGCCATATAGCTTTGGTGATGCTGCCAAAAAAAGCTTGGCAACCAGAAATCGGGGTTAATTTAGGGCAATGTTTCTCGACCTTGGCAACTTTAAAATTTGTGGACTTCAACTCCCAGAATTCTCCAGCCACATTTCTGGGAATTCTGGGAGGCTTTTTTTTTTTTTTTTTTACTTTTAAAAGCATTTTTTCTACAACCTCTTCGGCTGTTTGTTTTTTTTTCCTGGTAGCATCAATAATAAATGGATGAGATTGACCCTTGCTCTCGGCATGGCTCTTTGCAAGACATTTCAGGAATCTTCAAATAAAAGGCACTGGACTGCAAGCTGGTGGGGAAACTCAGCTTTTCAACATCAGTTTAACTATTAATCTTATGAAAACATATGAAGAACGGTTGCCAGAATTGAGCATGTTTAATGGAAGAAGGGGACGCGGTGGTTCAGTGGCCAAGACGCTGAGCTTGTCGATCAGAAGGTCGGCAGTTCAGTGATTCGAATCCCTAGTGCCGCGTAACGGGGTGAGCTCCCGTTACTTGTCCCAGCTTCTGCCAACCTCGCAGTTCGAAAGCACATAAAAAATGCAAGTGGAAAAATAGGGACCACTTTTGGTGGGAAGGTAACAGCGTTCCGTGCGCCTTTGGCATTAAGTCATGCCTGCCACATGACCTCGGACACGTCTTCGGACAGTGCTGGCTCTTCGGCTTTGAAACGGAGATAAGCATCGCCCCCTAGAGTCGGGAACGACTAGCACATATGTACGAGGGGAACCTTTACCTTTACCTTAGTTTAATGAAAAGAAGGACTAGGGGAGACATGATAGCAGTACTCCAATATTTGAGGGGCTGCCACAAAGAAGAGGGGGGGGGTCCATGTATTCTCCAAAGCACCTGAAGGCAGGACAAGAAGCAATGGGTGGGAACTAATCAAGGAAAGAAATCACCTAGAACGAAGGAGGAATTTCCTGACGGTGAGAACAATTTATCAGTGGAACGGTTGGCCTTCAGAAGTTGTGGCTGTTCCATCACTGGAGATTTTAAAGAAGAGATTGGACCACCATTTGTCTGACGTGGTATAGGGTCTGATTAGGAGATCTCCAACTCTGTTATTCTACTACATGCAAGGCAACACAGATGCTTGTCTCTCCTACAGAATACGGAGAACTTCTGCAACCTAATGCTTGCCCACCAACCCGTAAAAAGCTTAGCGTTGATGTCAACCCCCTTTGAGGACCAAACAGTTTCTCAGAGGCTTCATGGGACCCTGTCCCATGAAAGGAGTCATAGATTCCATGGCCCCTTTCATGGGACTTCAGACCAAAGCCAACAATTGTCTTCAAACCAAAGACAACAGACAATCCTGTTGTCTTGGTGGCTGTAATTTTCATAGCCCAGCAAAGCGGTGGTAATTACGGAAATTGTAGAAGAGCTGAAAAGATGATGGGTTTGCTAGATAGGACTCTTTGATCAGATTAGTAGCTTAAGGTTATAACCTTATTCCAACGACAAAACAGAAAGAATAGGGAAAGAAAGCAAAGAAGAGTAAACAGATGTTTTATTTTAACATTTGGGCAAGAGACGAGATTTTGATTGGGGGATTTTTATTTCCGTTAACGTGACATGTCAAAGGAGTCAGTCCTTCCATCGGACATCTGGAAGATCAAAAGAAGGTTTTCTTCCATGCAGGAGGAGAAAGAACTTTTAGTGCATAAAAAGTGAGTTGAAAGAACTTCGTTGAAAGTCCACTTGGTGGCTTAGATCTTCCCATCACCTGGTCTTTGGCTCGGTCCCTTTAAAAGTGGAGTATCTCCTGAAATCATGTATGCTTCAAGTTGAATCCACTGAGCCACGTCCCTTTCTCAGGGCTGTGCATCGTGAAGAAATTGCTCTAGGGACCACCGTATTTTTCGTAGTATGAGACACTCCGGACTATAAAACGCACCTACCTTTTTTGGGGAGGAAAACAAGAAAAAAGAAATTTGCCTCTGCCTCCCAGCAATTTGCCTCCTTGCAGCAAACAGCAAACAGCCTGTTTCAGTTTCATTTTCAGCACAGCCTGATTAGCATA